TTTTTTTTTTTCTTCATTCAAATGAAATGACATGTTTATTGGATTTCCTGTCATAAAAAAGTCTTTTTTTGATTGGAAAAAAAAGGAAATGTATTACATGTATTGTTATATTAGGAAAATGTATAAAAATGGATATTTCCATTTTTTAAATTATTTTCAATTTTAAATATAAGAATAGATAGCATAACAGTCAAGATATAATCTATAAATAATTTAAAAAATATAAGAATAGATAGCATAAGAGACAAGAGATAATCTATAAATATTGACTTTATTAAACTTTATCTATACTTTATTTAAATTTAACTTTATCTATTTTTTTATCCGAATCAATTAGAAATTTTTCTATTTCATTTCATGTTCATTTCTTATTAGTTTAATGTTTTGATTGTGTCATACGATTCAATCTTTTTATTTATTTTCTTTGATTTATTTTGATTTTTGATTCCTATTCTATCTACATAACTTAATTATTTGTATTTGGGTTGCTAACTCAATGGTAAAGTATTATCATTACCGTCTGGACACATAGAAATCCAACCACGTAATCGCAACATCCCAATTGCAAGAACGAAGCTCTACCGAGCTATATCTCCCCCCTCGAGCCAAGTGGAGCATGTATGAAGGAGTCAGATGCTTTCTATATTCTTTTCTTTTCTTTGGCGTAGTTAGGCCATCTTGGACTTGAACCAGAGACCTCGCCCGTGAAGTAAAGCATTGCACCTACGGTCCAACCAATTAGGAGAGAATCAATAGATTCCTTTTCAGGAGCGATTCATCCTTCCCGAACGCAGCATACAACTCTCTGGTGTATTGTGCTCTCCAAGTGTGCTTGTTCCCCCCTTTTCTTTTCTGACAATAACAAATATAAAATAAAGTAAATGGAACAAAAGGTTTGAAATGTCTTTCACGCTTTGACCTGTGAAAAAGCATATTCTGGGGTTTTATCTTCATCTGAAGAAAAAAAAAATATAAAAAAGACGACATTAAAATGAAAGAATACTAAAATGAAACAATAAAGCATAAAATAAGAAAAGTATATGATATGGTGGTAGTTTAATGCACATAAAAATTAGAAGAGTACATAAAAATATTTCTTTTTATAAATATAACAAACAAGATCCAAGAATAAGATTTGTTTGATAGAATGAGATCCGAGGATCAAATGGTTACGAAAGAGGGGATAACTTGTTCCTTGAAAGAATTTTTCTATTATTAAATTCCATACAATATTAAATAAATAATAGGAAATTTGAAATGAAAGGAAAGTCTTTTTATTGCACCTATTAATCTTATATATATATATTGTGTTCTGAAATCAAAGAAAGATATTTTATGTTGTGACTTTGAATAAACTTTTTTGTGGAATGGAGGAAGGAAATAGTAATTTATTCCTATAGAATAACTAGATAGCTAGGAAAAAAAAGATTAAATTAAAAATATTGACAGATTTTTTTTGGAGTCCAAAGAAATATGAAAATGAAAAAAAAAACGGATCTACTGTTCCAATTTCATCTATATCGAATTTGACTATCAGAATAGTGGATATAGTTATGATTCAATGGGTTAGGTCCACTTACTTTTTCTTTTGTTGATTTCTAATCTAATCTTTACAATTGATTTAATTGGACTCCTATAAAATAGGAAAGTTTAACGATTTAAGAGGCAACTTATCATTATTCATTTTAATAAAATAAACAAATATTCAATTTTATAACTATAATTACTATATTAGTATACTCTAAATTCGAGTATAAATCATTATAATGTTAACCTTCTAATTTAATTTAGAAAAATTCTATTTATTCTATTTATTAGAAATATAGAGTTTCTTACCTTATTTATTGCAAATATTAACAATATCTCTATTTCCCCTTCAAATGGAATCTCCCTTCAAATAGAAATACTCCCGCGGGAGTTTTATTAAAAAAGGACAAAGCCCTTTATCGGATTTGAACTGATGACTTACGTCTTATCATAGCGTTACTTTACCACTAAGTTAAAAGGGCCTATTTGATTCAATTTCGAAATGAGCCAGCATGCGGATAATCCATATCTATAGAAATAGATTCTACATCAAATCTATGTAAAGTAAATAGATTCTATATAATTTTTTCTATTTTTTTCTATATTATCTATATTATTAGAATATAATAATATAGAAAAATTGAATGAAATTCATTCTATTGACAATTTTAAGAAATTGTTCATATTATGAGTATAATATGCTGACGATCAAGCAAATGTGCCCCCATCGTCTAGTGGTTCAGGACATCTCTCTTTCAAGGAGGCAGCAGGGATTCGACTTCCCCTGGGGGTAGGGTATTACAAATGGAAGTTAATGGGGGATTCTTAAGAAATTTGGAATTTTTTCTTCTCTTTATTTTTTTTATGGTATCAAAGCTGGCTTAGCATCCTGATTCGTCACTACAATTAAATCTCTTATCTAGCATCTCTCTTCTTCAGCCACCATGACCAACAATGAAATATCATCAAACTTAGAAGCTTATACAAATTTTTCAAAAGGGAATCTCTCAAATCCCTATTTCACTCACCATTTAGATCATCTAGGTTTGGTTTTGATTCTCAAACCCTTAAATGGAGACAACTATTTTACTTGAAAAAGGGTTATGACCCTGGCCTTGAATTCTAAAAGCAAGCTAAGTTTCGTTAATGGCTCAATTAAAGCCCTTTCAGAAAAAACTAATCCTAAATGATATACGACTTGGTCTCGATGTAATTATATGGTCCATTCATAGATCATTAACACTTTCAATCCGAAGATTTTAGATAGTGTGATATGCTACTCTACAACTTATAAAGTTTGGGAAGACCTTTATAATTGATTTTCTCACAACAATGCACCTTATATATTTGAAATTCAATGAGATATTGCTTATTTTAGGTAGGAATAACTCTCTATTTTGGTATATTACACAAAATTAAAGGGAATGTGGGATGAACTAACTTTCTACAACGATTCACTACATGAGACGCAGCAAGATCAACAGAGATTAATATAATTTATGATGGGTTTGAATGAATCTTACAGTGTTATTCATGGACAAGTTCTCCTGATGAATCCCTTTTCTTCGGTTCAGCCAGCTTATACATCTGTCTCTCAAACAGAAAAGCAATGTCTTCTAAGATTAGCACACACCATTAATGATTCTGTTAGCAGTCCTGCCATGATAGTTTAAAGCAACAACATCAAGCCTAATGACAAAGGTGAGCGTTCCTACCATTATTTTAGATCACAATATAGATTAACAGACAATTTTAGTGGAGGACATAGATTTGAACAGGACAGACGCTAATTTGGACCCAGACGAGGACGACCTCATTGTTCCCACTGTGGAGAACTTGGTCATTGGGTCCAAACCTGTTATGAGCTCTATAGGTATCCAATAGGGCACCTTAAGGCAAAATATAATTTAGCTAGATACTTCAACAACAACAACAAATCTACAGAAAACTATATGTCTGAGAGTTTTGCTAAAGAAAACAACAAGTCAGTTGTCGGAATTTCAGAGACCCAATTAAAGTAGCTTTTATCCTTTCTTAATGACAACGGTGTTGAATCCAGTTCTCAAGCACATGTCATAACCAAACCAGGGTTGCCTAAAATTGCTTATCATAATTGGATTATTGATAACAGGGTAACATATCATATTTTTTCATTATCTCAATCATTTTTTCAACGAGATAACAATTTCTCACTGTCTCTTGTATTACTGCCTAGCGAGGAAATAACTAATGTTGTTACAAGGGGATTACTGCCTCTGAATTCCACCTATTATTTGCATGATGTGTTATGTGCACCCACTTTTAAAGTTGACTTGATGTTAGTCAATTGTTTGACAAAATGTTTGAATTACTCGGTAAATTTTTTTTCCTTATTGGTGTATTTTGCAGGATCTAGCTATGAGGAGGATGATTGATTTGGGTAAACAACATGACAGACTATACTATTTGGTGGCAATAATGACGGAGAAATCTATAGTATAGCCTACCCCACCATTACATTGACTAGCTTGCAATCTCACTATCTCATCAACTGATCTTTGACAAAAACGCTTAGACCATATCTCACTTCATTGTTTAAGTTCATTGCCTAGCAAATTTTAATTTTTTCTATTCAATCCAATCATGTTTGTCCTATATGTCATTTGGGTAAGCAAAATCGCTTTCTTTTCATTTCTAGTGTCATTTCCTCTATAAAACCTTTTGAAATAATTCATTGTGATATTTGGGGCCGTTATCAATGCCTTTCCATTTCTAGTGCTTATTATTTATTATTATCGTTGATGATTACACACGATTCACATGGATTTTTTTTTATTATCGTTGATGATTACACATGATTCACATGGATTTTTTTATGTGACACAAAACTAAAGCTCAATCTCTTATAAAACGTTTCTTCAGTTATGTTCTCACACAATTTGAATTTCCCATTAAATTTTTTTGAAGTGATAATGATGGCGAATTTATATCACTTCATTCTTTTTTTCAAGATAATAGTGTTATTTTTCAACATTCTTGTATTTACATGCCTTAATAAAATAGGATTGTAAAATGCAAACATCATTACATTTTACAAGTAGCTCGAGCTTTGAAATTTCAAGCTCAATTCCCAATCTAGTTTTAGGGAGAGTGTGCTCTTAATGTTGTCCATATCATCAAATGACTTCCTTCCTGGTGCTCTCCTTCAAAACTCTATTTGAACTTCTCTACTCAAAACCGCCTTTTTATTCTCATATCTGAGTTTTTGGTTGCTTAGTTCATGCTATAATATACATCCTTCTCACAAATTTAACTTTCGCTTCATGCCCTCAATTTGTATTGGTTATCCTATGGGGCAAAAGTCATACAGATTATTTGATTTATCTTCCTAAAATTTTTTTCACTAGTCACGATGTACGCTTTCATGAAACTATTTTTTCTTATGCATCTATTTTTTCACTAGTCACTAGTCATACAAGCCCATTTCTGTTCTCCCTCCTTCACTCATTGATTTTGGTCTTATTCCTCTTCTGACCCACGCCACTACTTCTTTTTATTCCAGTACACAAATTTCTCCTCCTGCTATAGTACATGCACCTCCATGTTCACCGCCACTTGCCTTCTCAAATCCACACCCCTCATCTCCCCAACCTCCACCCATCCTCTGCACCTATACACGCCGCCCCAAGCCTTTCACCCTTTATGTGTCTCTCGATTGTTTTGACCCAATCCCCCTAGCTGCTCCATCTTCATCGTCCACTTCACCTCCAAACCTCTCTCTCTCCACCTAGCTTCCTCAGTCATCTACTACTGAAAATCCACCACCACTTGAACCCACCCCACTTTGTCACTCCAGTCGCTATATTGCTCCACCAGTCAAGCTCAGCGACTTTATCTGCTCCAATGTTTACTCCCACCAATCAGCCACCTTATTGCCAGGTCCAACCAAAGGTATGCACTATTCCATGGCCAACTTTATTTCATATCATTGTTATACCCCTGCATATCACTCCTTTGTTGCTCAGCTCAGTACCATCACAAAGCCTAAGTCTTATTTAGAGGCTGTTGTTCATCCTAAATGGCAGGAGGGCATGCGCTTCAAACTGCAAGCTCTCCAAGCTAATGGCACTTGGTCTCTTACCTCATTGCCGTCAGGCAAGACACCGATTGGCTGTAGATGGGTCTATAAAATTAAACATCATTCGGATGGTTCTGTCGAGTGGTACAAAGCTTGTTTAGTCGCATATGGTCTCACTCAATTAGAAGGAGTTAACTACCATGATATATTTTCTCCCACAACCAAAATCTTCTATGTCCGCTATTTACTTTCCTTAACAGCAGCTCATGGCTGGTCCCTACACCAGATGTACACCCACAATGCTTTCCTTCACGGAGCCCTAACTGAGGAGATATGCATATCTCTGCCACTAGGTCTTGGACTCCAGGGGGAACCATCTAGTTTGTCGACTTCATAAGTCACTTTACGCTTTAAAACTAGCATCTTGTTAGTGGTTTGTCAAATTCTCTGAAGTTATGCACTTTGTTGGTTTTATACAATCAAGAGCTGATTATTCTCTATTCATCAGGAAGCAGGGTATGTCCTTTACTGTTTTCTTGATAGATGTTGATGATATTCTGATAACTGGAAATGATCCTGTTAACATTACTACAACTAAACAATTCCTGCATAAACATTTTCATATCAAAGATCTTGGTGATTTAAAACACTTTCTTGGAATTTAGGTATTTGCTTCAAAGAATGAGATTTTTATTTCATAATATAAATATACAGTGGAAGTCATTAACGATGCAGGGTTGTCAAGTGCTACTCCTATTAATACTCTCATGGAATGGGGCTTGAAATTATCAGACAAGGGCACCCTGCTAAAAAATACAAACCGTTATAAAAGATTGGTGGGTCATTTAAATTATTTGACTTTATCAAAGCTAGACATAACGTATGATGTACATGTCCTGAGTAGATTTATGCAACAGTCCTGAAAATTTTATATGGAAGCAGCTATTTGAGTTGTTCGATATCTAAAAGGTACACCTGGCCGAGGCTTATTTTTCTCTTCCAATAATGGCTTGAAGTTGAGAGCTTATTGTGACTCAGATTGGGTAGGCTGTCCACTCACTGGGAGATCTACAATAGGCTATTGTGTTTTTTTTTTTTACTATCACTGATATCCTAAAGGTCGAAGCAATAGAAAAAAGTTTTGCTCTTTTCTGCTGAAACAGAATACTAAGCAATGACAAGAGTCTGCTTTGAGTTAACATGGCTGCAATGTCTACTGAAAGACTTGGAAATTTCACACCGTGAATCTGCCTTGCTATATTGTGACAATAAGGCTGCGTTATACATTACAGCCAATTCAGTGTTCCATGAGAGAATAAACATATTGAAATGGATTGTCATTATATTAGAGACAAAATCCAAGATGATTCCATTACTACAAAACATGTTAATTATGTACATCAACTAGAATATATCTTGACCAAACCCCTAGAAAAAGAGATCTTTGTTCCTGTGGTTTGCAAGTTAGGAGTGGAGGATATCCACTCTCCAACTTGAGTGGGGAGTATTAGGAAATCAAATCTAAGAATAGTAGAGTTGTATAAAATAGAAGATATGTATTTATTTACTTTCTATTGTAATGCCTAGTATGTCGTTGTTAGGGCTACAATATAACAACTGATTCCTGACTTGTAATAATCAATTGCAGCCTCCCTGTATATAAGTACATGGTTGAATATCAATAACAATCACTTCTGCAAATTCAGTATTTCTTCTTCATTCTTCTCACGTGTAAGGTTCTCCGGTAATTTTTCCACTCCATAAAGCAAATATGGCAATCCATATGGAATTTGAGTAAAATCCTAACATGGCAGTCAATAAATCTTGTCCGAGTGGTCTCTTAGCCCAAATACCATGAATGTTACTGACAACTTGAACAATATATGCTATTAATTACTGAACTTTTGATTGCTCCAGTGTCACAAAGAATCAAAAGTTGGAAAAAAAATGTGCTTGCTCCTCTTGCAGATCTCGTCATTTATGACGGCGCCATCCTTATAGGAAAGCAGACCTGTAGCCTTCCTAAATATAAAGGTGACTGGCTATTTCTTTTCTATGTTGTCATAAATATCCAGGGTGCTGAGCTGTGGACAAATGAGCAGAGTTCTTGCTTCCATAAAAGCTTCATTTGATAAAAAAAAAATACATCTGCATCACTATGAACATTCCCTTCTAATCTGAAATATAGATAATAGTGATAGTTCTGAAGTTTTGCATGTCACATAATGGCTGGAATCTTCAGTTCTCTGTCTTCATACTGCATCCTGTTGGTTTTCATTATTGTTGCTGACCTTAGTTTATGCACTGCTCAAAATGATAAGCAGGTAGCCCGCGCTTAATTTTTTTATTTTTGCGTAGGCTTTTCTCTCTGATTGGTCACAGGTTAATTAACTGTGTAGATGAACTGATATATTGGATATATATGTTGGCATAAATCTCTTATAAATTCAGGAGTCTGATTTATGTCAATGGTGATGCAGGTCTATATTGTGTACATGGGCTCGCTTCCTACGGGTGAATACTCACCCACTTCTCACCATCTCAGTCTTCTTGAAGAAATTGTCGAAGGAAGGTGAGTGTTCCAAGTCCATTCTTGTCAGAAAGCTTCTGTGTTTCCCTGTTTTACTTTTCTTGAATTTTCAATCACAATCATTTGGTGGTATGTAACGAGGAACTAGGTGGAAGGGGTTAACACTCTAACAAATCACATCCATATCATTTTAGACTAGAAAACCTGTTCAACTGGCATGACCATAACCAGAAAAGGATATTTCTATTTCAATTATGTTCAGTGATGTTTTAATATTTCCCTTCCATTCCAGATCTTCGGATGGTGCGCTAGTTAGAAGCTATAATAGGAGTTTCAATGCATTTGCAGCCAGACTCAGTCATGCGGAGGTAGAGAGAATCTCTGGTAAGTTCTTTAAAATCCTTCTTCATCAACTTCTTGGTAGAATTGATATGTTTTTTGATGTGTGATGACAACAATATGCAGGCCTGAAGGAAGTGGTGTCTGTATTCCGTAGTAGAAGATCTCAACTTCTGACGACAAGATCATGGGACTTCATGGGGTTTCCTGAAAATGTGAAAAGGAACCCCACAGTAGAAAGTAATATAATCATTGGGGTTATTGACGCAGGAATCTGGCCTGAGTCAGAGAGTTTTGCTGATAAAGGTTTTGGTCCTCCTCCTGCAAAATGGAAGGGGACTTGTGCTGGTGGCAAGAATTTTACTTGCAACAAGTATCTATCATCCCTCTTGCTCTGTTTCCTCTATTGCTTCTACACCAGTAAAGTATAATTGGATGAGTTAATCAGTCTAAAAGGCTAGAAATGAAGGGGTTCTTTCCCATTCTTTATAATTTTGCAAATTTAAGCCAAATAAATGTAAGTTCAGTGTTGTTTTTCTTCTGACTATAAGATTTCTTATCATGGATAAAAAGTCCAACTTTTTATGAATTAAGGGAAGATTATTTGCCAAAATAAGTTTCCAAAAGGAGCCATAAAATCATCTTGATATGTACTTTCAATATTTAAATTTGTATCATTATGGTAAGAAAGGAATGTATGAAAGCCTCCTGTATCCATAAAATGCAATGGTTCACCTGGAATTTGTTTGACATTAACACATAACTACGAGCATGATGGTATTTAAATGTCAAATGGGAACCATTAGACAAAAATAGAAATGATACTAACATTCTTGTTTTTCCTTCCCTATGATATATGAAAGAATCCATTGACTCTATTACTGGACAGAGGAGTACTTGTTAGATTCTGCTTTTATTGTTACTTTCAGTAAGATCATTGGAGCTCGAGTTGAAGACACTTCAGGGGCTGAAGCTACCGCAAGGGACAATGATGGCCATGGTAGCCACACAGCATCAACAGCAGCTGGCAACACAGTATCAGGCGCGAATTTTTACGGACTGGCTCAAGGAAATGCCAGAGGAGCTGTTCCATCAGCAAGGATTGCTGTTTACATGGCCTGTGAGGAGTTTTGTGATGACCATCAAATACTTGCTGCCTTTGATGATGCCATTGCTGATGGGGTTGACATAATCACAATTTCAATAGGGAAGGGTGTCCCATTTCCATATGAAAAAGATACTATTGCCATAGGGGCCTTTCATGCAATGGAGAAAGGGATACTCACTGTACAAGCAGCAGGAAACAGCGGTCCTGATCCATTTACTGTATCAAGCCATGCACCATGGATAATTTCAGTTGCAGCTAGCAGCACAGATCGTCGGATAATTGATAAGATAGTTCTAGGGAATGGACAGACCTTCGTTGTAAGTAGCTATAATATCTCAAATTTTATGTCATAGTCCCAGTCATTTTGTTCAAATTTACTTTGTTATCATAATTTATAGAGGTACTCTTTGTTGTTATTGCGATAGCTGTCCATCTCTTCACTTACCCAGCGGCACATAGCCAAAAAAGATGAAAATTAGCATAGTTGAATGTGATTTCACATTTCTTTTTTTCATGTTGGATAGTCTGTAAAATATTTATCTGCTTTTACTTCTATATTTAATCAGGGAAGCTCTGTTAATTCTTTTGCACTAAATGGAACAAAAATCCCTCTGATTTATGGAAAAGCTGTCACGAGTAATTGCACCGAGTATGGTGCTTGGTGAGTGCTATCCCTTTGGTTATTCTTAGTTCATTGTCCTTCCAATAACGAAACTAACCTTCATCCATGTGGTATATCAGGTCTTGCTGGAGTAATTGTATGAACAGTAGCTTGGTGAAGGGAAAGATTGTCATATGTAATATGACAGATACATCAGTGACAGATGAAGCTCTTAGGGCCAGGGCCCTTGGCTCAATCATGTTGAATGACACATTTGACGATGTTTCCATTGTAGTGCCCTTACCTGCATCTAGTTTGAACCCTCATGACAGCGATTTGGTGATGTCCTACTTGAAATCTACAAAGTAAGATTCTAAACACCCACGTAAAAGTGTGGTGAATTAGTCATTAAACAGTAAATTCAATTTCCCTGCCATAGTTAGAACTTTATAGCTGCTGAGATCATTTCTCCGGCTGTTAATCATGCAGAAATCCTCAAGCAACGATATTGAAAAGTGAAGTTACAGAACATAATACGGCTCCTGTAGTTGCTTCCTTCTCATCACGCGGTCCAAATAAAATTGCACCTGAGATTTTGAAGGTTTGGGAATTGTTATGACTATCAGAATCTTTGCATATCTTTATGTTTTGGGCATGACGGAAGGGGTTGCAAAGTGCTGCCTTTTAAGTTATTCCATTGTACTTATCAGATATGTTTCTGGTATTTTCTATTTGCCACAGCCGGATATAAGCGCACCAGGAGTAGAAATATTGGCTGCATATTCTCCAGTTGCTTCTCCATCAGATAATGCTGATGATAAGAGGTCTGTGAAGTATAACGTAGTGTCTGGGACCTCCATGTCTTGTCCACATGTTGCTGGTGCTGCTGCTTATGTTAAATCATTTCATCCAAATTGGTCTCCTTCAGCCATCACATCTGCTCTAATGACCACTGGTATTATTCACTTCTCGAGGTCTTTTTATTCTTCTTGTTTCTCATTAGCCTACCACATGAATTTCATTTGTTAAACCAGTTATTTAGATCACTATTTACTCTTCCCTGCACAGCTTTGCCTATGAACACTGCCAAGCATGCAGATGCTGAATTTGGATATGGAGCAGGCCACATAAACCCGATAAAAGCTGTAGATCCTGGTTTTTTGTATGAAGCTACCAGAGACGATTATATAAGAATGCTGTGCAGTATGAATAATACTCATTTCAGTAAATGTCCGCGGCACATTGAAGGATCTCCAAAGGATCTGAATTATCCTTCAATGGCAGTTCGAGTTGAAGAAAACAGGGCTTTCACTGTTAAATTTCCAAGAACAGTCAGAAATGTTGGACTCGCCAAGAGTTCATACAAATCAAACATCACAACAGGTTCTCAGATTAATGTTATGGTGGAGCCAAGCATTCTGTCGTTCAAGTCGGTGGGTGAGAGTCAATCATTTGTTGTCACAGTGGCTGGGAAAGGATTGCCAGCAAATTCCATGGTATCTTCATCACTGGTTTGGAATGATGGCACGCATAGTGTGAGAAGTCCCATTGTGGTTTACACAATTAAACCTTCAAACTGAATGCCTTCATCGCATTTTATTTTCTTTAAATGGCGAATGATTTTTCTTTTTCAGTTTCAAATCTGAAAATCAAAGTATGATGAAAGTTGTCTTCTATTTAGAGATTGAATAGAGTCCAGCGGTTGTCTTCTTTTTCAGTTTACACAATCAAGTCCCATTTCAGCTTTATGTAAAACTTCAGAGATTGAACAACCCTATCCTCACTATATGCTGCTGAGTGAGAATCTCTCTAATAATGGCAAGACAATATTACAAATATTTGACCAATCATACAATAAATTTACTTTCAATATATTAGTCTCCTAGAAATTTCGTTGCTGATATAAAAATAATCTTTTCGTGTCCAGCACCAATGAAAGCTCTGCTCGCTAGCAATTTCCTATGAGAAAATCTCACCCACGAAAATTATTCCTCCTCTTCACTAAATATATACCATAAATCAAGACAAAGAACCGGATTAAAGGAGTGAAATAATGCATTGTATCTCATTATTGTTTCGAACACATTAATTAACTCATCTGGCAAATGTCAGCAGGTATAGAAATAAAAGATTATGAAATATTGTGTGTGCCCATCTTAGGTAAGAAAATAACAAGATTCTGCAATATTAGAATTATTATTCTTTTGCTTAACTAATATAAGAATATATTCCAGTTATGCACGAAATTTATTCTTGACGTATTAAGAAATCTCAGGTTTAATTCTATAGAAGCATTGTTCTCAAGGTGAGAAAATTTCATTGATGGCTACTGAATCCTTGACTCTGCCCAATCCAACATATAAAATACTCCTCGTTCCCTTCAGGTTTGAGCAAAAAACAATGGCGCAGTACGGATCTATCCCGCTCTGTATTCTTACACTAAGCATTAGTGTATTGTTATGCAGTGCTACTGGTGATGATAGAAAGGCAAGTGCATGTCTTTGCTTTTTCCTTTGTTCTTGCCATGCATGATAACTTGAGGGGATGGGATTTTTTTATTTTTTTTAATACTACGTTGGATTAACTATGTTTATAAAGCAGGAATACATAGTGTATATGGGGTCACTTCCAGAGGGTGAATACTCGCCATCATCTCACCACCTCAGTTTGCTTCAAGAAGTTGTTAAGGACAGGTTGAAATAATTTTCAAATTTCAAGATTAGTAGTTCTTTTACCATTCTTGTATAAATGTTGCCTTTCGCTTGTTTCTCTCTGCAGCTCTTCTGAAAATGTCCTTGTTAGAAGTTACAAAAGGAGTTTCAATGGATTTTCTGCAAAGCTCACAAGTGAGGAGGCACAAAAGCTAGCAAGTGAGTTTTGCCAACACTTTTTTTTTTTAATGTTTCACATAAATTACATGTATTTAATCGGTCTTTTTATTTTTTACATGATGTGGCATGCAGGTAAGAAGGAAGTGGTCTCTATTTTTCCGAGTACAACTCTCCAACTTCAAACAACAAGATCTTGGGACTTTATGGGTTTCAATGTGACTGCAAGTGGAAAACGAGGCACTCATAGTGATCTTATTGTTGGTGTCATTGATACTGGAATTTGGCCAGAATCAGAGAGTTTTAATGATGATGGTTTCGGCCCTCCTCCCAGGAAGTGGAGGGGTGTCTGCGAAGGCGGCGAAAACTTCACTTGCAACAAGTAATACAGTTCTTTCCGTAAATTAAACAGTGCTTTCTATAGTCACTGAATAATTTATAGCTTGTATAGGTTAGTTGTTGGTAGAAAATTCCTCAGCTATACAGATGCTATTGATCTAACATTGACAATATAGGATGGTGTTTTCAGCAAAATCATTGGAGCTAGACATTATTCATTTTCGTCTGCAAGGGATGATCTAGGCCATGGATCACATACCGCCTCTACAGCAGCTGGGAACATAGTAAAGAAAGCTAGCTTTTATGGACTGGCACAAGGTACTGCCAGAGGAGGGGTACCCTCAGCGAGAATTTCTGCATATAAAGTATGTGGTCCAGGTTCATGCCAATCAAGCGATATCCTTTCCGCATTTGATGATGCAATTGCTGATGGAGTTGATATTATAACAATCTCGATTGGAGCAAACCAAGCACAAGAATTTGATACTGATGTCATTGCAATCGGTGGTTTTCATTCAATGGCGAAAGGAATTCTTACTTTACAATCTGCAGGAAATAATGGTCCTGTATTAGGATCAGTGGCAAGTGTGGCACCATGGATATTCACTGTTGCTGCAAGCAGCACGGATCGTCGGATCATAGACAAAGTTATTCTTGGGAATGGAAAGACATTAGTCGTATGCATCCTTGACTCTATTCTTTTAATCAATTACTTGATACAATCATACACAGATTCGCACTCGCATTTAACCACATCTATAAGTACGCATATATGCATTCATGCATGTATGTATTTGTATCTGCACTGAAACCAGTGTGTGGGTATTATTTCTAACTACCAGGTTTGTGAAAACAGGGGAATTCTGTTAATTCTTTCAGTCTAAAAGGAAAAAAGTTTCCTCTGGTGTACGGTAAGGTTGCATCAAGAGAATGCAAGCATCTTGAAGCAAGGTGAATCTTCATGGTCATTTCTTTTATTTTAATTTCTAAATGTTAAAAAAAGGTCCATAACTTGAATTCTGAGTTGGCATTGATTTTCATATTTTCAGCCTTTGCTATAGCGGCTGGTTTGAGAGTTGGCATTGATTTTCATATTTTCAGCCTTTGCTATAGCGGCTGTTTAGACAGAGCTTTAGTTAAGGGAAAGATTGTAGTGTGTGATGATGTGAATGGAAGAACTGAGGCTAAAAGAGCTGGAGCTCTTGGCGCGATCCTTCCAATTAGTTTTGAGGATATTTCCTTTATCTTACCTTTGCCTGGATTGAGTTTAACAGAAGACAAACTTAATGCTGTCAAGTCATATCTGAATTCCACGAAGTATGTTTTCTTTTTCGCTGAGCAGCATCCATTCCATTAGAACTTTGCATTTAGTTCCTTCAAATGATGTGATCCTTGTGTGTTTATAGGAAACCTTCAGCAAACATATTAAAAAGTGAAGCCATTAAGGATAATGCTGCACCTGAAGTTGCTTCTTTCTCTTCTCGTGGTCCAAATCCCATCATATCAGATATTTTGAAGGTAGGTATTATAGTTTTCTTTTCTATATTTTTTGTATTTCAATTTGCTCATATATGGATCAAATAAACTGCAGCCAGATGCCAGTGCCCCAGGTGCAGATATCTTGGCTGCATTCCCACCTGTTCTTTCACCCACAGACGACACTGCAGACAAGAGGCATGTTAAGTACAGTGTGATGTCTGGAACCTCCATGGCTTGCCCTCATGCTGCCGGTGTAGCGGCTTATGTTAAAGCAGCTCACCCTGATTGGTCTGCTTCAGCTATTAAATCTGCTATTATGACTACTGGTAATCTTGTGTAGTCACTCTAGTCCTCTTCATTTCTCTCAGTCGGTTATATCACTAGAGAATATGAAGACGTAGATCACGTATCTTTCGGTTCCATTATGTAAAAAAGGTTATATGCAATTACCAACTTTCTTTCTATGATTCTTTTTTTTTCAATTTTCAGCTTGGCCCATGAATGTTACTGAAAGATCAGATGGAGAATTTGCTTTCGGATCTGGGCATATAAATCCAGCAACAGCCATTCACCCTGGACTTGTTTATGAAACACAGAAGAGTGACTACATACAACTGTTCTGTGGCCTGGGATATACTGCAGAGAAAATCCGGCAAATCTCAGGAGACAACAGCAGCTGTAGTAAGGCCGCTAGAAACACCCTGCCAAGGGATTTGAATTACCCTTCAATGGCAGCTAAAGTTGCAGTGGAGGAGTCCTTCAGAATTAAATTTCATAGAACAGTTACAAATGTTGGCAGGGCAAACTCAACCTACAAGGCAAAAATCTTCTCACGCTCATCACTCAAGATCAAAGTTGTGCCTGAAGCTCTCTCCTTCAAGTCCTTGAAAGAGAAGAAGTCGTTCGCTGTAACTATTGTTGGTCGAGATTTGACACATAACTCAATTCTGTCTGCATCGTTGGTGTGGTCTGATGGTTCTCACAGCGTGAGGAATCCAATTGTTGTTTACGGAGGGGAAGATGAATTTACAACTCCATCAGCTTATAATTAGCATGCTTGCCGTATCCAATTCCAGTGTACTCTTGAAATAATGTAGACTTCGAATTTGCACCAATTATGATATGTTCAATTTCTAGGGCAACTAATACATCCAAGCTTGTAATTTCTCATGGACAGAAATGTTACAAATTATCATGCTTTCTACTCCGTCTACACGAGTTTTGCTACAGATACGAAAAGTAATCTTCTAAAAACTCCAGCACATTTGATGTTCGAAACCAGTTCACAGTGATACATGGACATGTTAAAAGAATAAACCAGTCATGATCTTGACCTAAATCCCAGCCACCCAACGAGCCAAATTATGGGAGGAACGTTTGTTTTGGGACTGTTTCCTGATTCTGATGCCTGTAAGCTTTCCTGGAGTCTCGGATAGGCCATGGATGTATCTTTTGAGCACTCTTCTTGGAAACATATGCTGTATATAGACTATATAACGCTTTCATGTTTAGTTTCTTTTTAATTCCAACCTTGAATTTTTTTTATTGAATTATTTTCATCTAATTTTATGAGATAAAATTTTAAATTATAGCAGAAAAATAAAATTAAAAGAAAAAACTATAATGTAAAATACAAAGAAAAAGCGTGACTAATCTTAAAGTTCTTAGAATTTTAATTTTGGTCTAAAAAATTATTTTATTTATTTTTCAATCATTATGTTTGAGAGATGAAAGAGAAACTCACTTGAAAAATGATAGAGAAAAAAAAAAGTTGTTAGTTAAGCACAATTCAATAATAAGAAAAATTAATTTTGATGTTAATAGGTTTTATTCATTGAAAAGAGTTCTATAAAAATATTTTTAAACCACCATCTTGTAAAAAAAAAAAAAAAACAGAGTTCAAAGATAATTTTTTTCTGTATTGATTTTGTATTTCTGAAATGATTTAGGGGTGTTTTAAATTTATATATTGATTTATTGACATGATAATGATGTTACTTTAGATGTTTTTAAATAGGTTAAAAAAGTAAAGTTTTGGATTTAAAAAATCACAGTATAATTTTTTAACCACCTCTTTAATGGTTGAAAATCGAACAAACAGATGACATATTTTCCATTGCAAGTGACATATTTGTCATCCCAAATGATACTTTGACTGCATTTATTTTTTTATTTTTGAGATAAAAGGATATATAATATGTTGTTCACCTTTAAAAAGAGAGAAACCATATGCACATGCATGACCTTTTTTTAAATAGGCTAGCCGTGATGACCCATCTAGACCCACACACCTAACAAGGATATATGATCAAACCATTTTTTTTTTACTCTGTTTTAAATTCGATAAATATTGGTTGATCATATGTTTCATTAGAGTTCTATGATTCAAAGTATCATTTTCTATTTGATCATTTTGAATTCTATACTCGAAGTTGTAATCGGATCTATTCATTAAAAAGAATTGATTCAATATATTTTTTATGTGCCCATAGGTGCTATATTGGATTTAAATCAGATTTCGGATCAATTTATATTGATTGACTACCTCAATTATGTTGTTGCTAGCAAATACCATTCTTTTTTGTTTTGGATCTTCCGCTATTTATGTATTTTTTTTCTTTTATATCATTAAATTCCATGAAAATAATTAACTTTAAAAAATATGTTCAAAAAACATCATTTTGAAGAATGAGATTATAGTTTTTTTCCAAAATTATTGCGCACTTTTTTATGCTACCCTTTGTGATTTGAATTTCTTAAATTGTGGATTTTTATTATATTTTTATTAAATGAAGTACATTGTTAAAAAAATTATATTTAAAAATACTTCTACTTATATCATTGTTTTATTTAAATGATGTATTGTGAACCTATTTTAACTTTTTTTCTTAGTTTTTTGAACTTAATATCACACTTATATAAGATATAGATACATCTTATGTGAGTTTAAAAAATTAAAAATCATTTAATAAAATTAAAAATATTTATTAAAATATCTTAATATGTTACAATTATTATTTTATATCTCAAAATCACAAAAATAAAAGTTTACCAAATACTATCTAGTTACTTTAAATGTGTATAAATATATAATAACAAGACTTATCAAAGATTCAAATACTCAATTTTTACTTCACATCATATCATTGAAAAAAAAATCAGCCAGGGCAACACAACGCATCAAATAGCAAACAACCTAACCATAGACTATTCTTCTCTTTCTTAGCTTATATATGTTGTCATAATTGCATGTTCCTTAAGAATACAACAAAATCCAATAATTTCTCATAAATGTATAAACGCATTCATATTTTTGGTTTTTGCCAGGTACAGAAAGAAAAGATTAGAGAATTATTGTGTGCATCTATGTTTATATATATATACACCATAGATACATGATCATGGATGTGATTCCTTTCATGGAAATGTTGAAGCGATATATATATATACCATAGATATATGATCATGGATTTGATTCCTTTCATGGAAATGTTGAAGCGAAAATAGCTCGTGCACTTGGGTAAATCCTGTCAAGTGACGACGTTGATGTTCCTCAAGTGGTATCTTTGCCTGCATCAGCTTTAAGCTCCAAAAATTACGATGCGGTCAGGTCATGTATGAATTCCACAGTGTATGAGTTTGCTCGTCAAGAAGTCTTTAACTAGTCTATGAATCTTTCCTCGTTTCTTCTTTCTTTACAGAATACCTCTTGAAAACATTTTAAAAAGCGAAGTCATCAAGGATTTCGCTGCACCTGCAGTCGCTTCCTTTTCTTAACGTGAACCGAATCCCTGCATGGCACCTGATATTATGAAGGTATGCCTGTCATTGATTTCTATTCTGAAAATGTCGTTTTTCATTTCAAAATGCCTATATATAGTGAAAATGATGCCAGATGTAAGTGCCCCTGGTGTAGAGATTTTGGCCGCATACGTACCTGTTGTTCCAACCTCAGAAAGTCCTGAAGACAACAGGCTCGTTAAATACAATATTATGCCTGGACCTCCATGTCATGCCCCCATGCTGCTGTTTTAGCAGCTCATGTTGAAACATCTCACCCTGATTGGTCTCTATTTTAGCTTTGTGAACGTTACTAATTTTCACATCCTGCAAAAAGAGTAGCATATTAACAACATTGAATTCTTCTTTCTACTATAATTGAAACCCAACATTATTTGAGAAAAGAAACTTTACATTCACTAATCAATGAAAAACTGAAACCCAAAATTATTTCTGAAAAGAAACAAGAAAATCTTTTCCATAATCCCTTGAGATAACTTCTATTTTTTCGTTGTAATTGCTCGTGTTTTAGCTTCTCGTAATCTTTCACAAATCCTCAAGACCGTATCCAAGGCACCCCATGTGCTTTAAACCATAAAAACACCAAGATCCAGTCGAGGAATCCATGTTTTAAACATCTCTAATTAAATTGTCCTAGGACAGCCCCACGCATCCAACAGCCCCATGCCAGTGCAGTACTCACCTTCACACCAACGTACGCATAACCACCATAACAGCTAGCATCTGGATCACAACCCTAAACCAACCCTACTCTATTTCTTTTTCACGCGAATCACTTCCTTCTTCCGCTATTGTCACCTCCACTAATTGAAGAGCGTTGTAGTACTTGTTATTTATACATACTAATGTTCACAAGGCTAAAATAGATAGCCATTTGAGGAGGAGGAGCGAGGAGGAATGCTACGGAGAAAAATCCTACTTGCTAGCTATTTGTCACGACCCGATCACTAGTTTCATGACCAACATATAAATATGGCTTCTCTCTAGGTTTTTTAACTACGTGAACTCAAATTTATATATAATTTTTTTTAATTTTACTCAATTAGAGTTTTACGCCGTATTATCTGTTATTATAACTAATTTCATAATATATATATATATATATATATATTAACATCTTAATACAAATTCAATAAATATAAATCACTAACTTTAGAATAACATTAATTACAATTAAAAAAAAATAAACAATGAAAGTCTAATAAAAACAACCTGCTATAAAAATATATACTTAAAATAAATAAATAATATGATAATAAGTTTGACTATTCAATAAATAAATAATATTCAATATATTATTGTATGTAGTCCCATGTGATTGTAAAATTATTACTTAAGAGATAGCTAGCTATCTTTTTAAATTAAATGATTTATTACTATAAAAACAGTAATATTATTGGAAAAAAAGAGCAAGAAAATCGAGAAAAAAAAAAGGGACAAGACTAATTAAAAATTCAATATATACTAAACATAATATGATGAGATATCAGAATTGAGTTACTTCCCCCAACTAGTTTTGTATGTGTTGTGGTGTGCTGTGCTGTGCTGTAAAATATTGTTATGATTTGATATCAAAGAAATATTTGGTAACTAATTAGTGTGTTGTGATTATAAGTATTTAAAATAGCTAAATAATATTTAGTTAAATTGTTCTCCTATTCTTTTAGGACATAAAATGACAAAATAAGGACTCTAATAAAAATAATTAAATTAATATATTTTATTTACGTTAGATGATTTATGACTTCTTAAATTTACATACTACGTGAAAGTGTTTTTTTTAATAAAAGTAACTTTTAAGTTTAAAAAAAAAAATCAGTAAAGTGATAATATATATAGACACATCATTTTAATAAAATTATTATATAAAAAATTAAAATAGATTATATAAAACACTAGTATATATGTATGAGTGATTTAAAAAAGAATAATTAAGAATGTTGTCATGTTAACTAATGGGTATCTTGCTTTGTTTAAAAAATAATTTTTTTTTAAATATCACCTACTTTGATTTTAAAATAAAATATATATTAACCAAACACTGCTTGTAGATAAAAATAGGTAAAATTAGAATAAGTATTGATTTAAAAGTATAAAAATACCTAACAAGCTCTAAGTAGAATACCATAATTACATTGAATGCTAATTGTATTTGTATTTTATTATCTACTTCTGTGTAACTAGTTTTGACAAATTGAATATTTAGTGCCAAAATTCACGATTCCATCGATCGATCCTTTGCATGATTTATTCTTCTTTCAAATTGTTTTTTAAGGCAACCTTTATTAATAAAGGAAGCCTCGCCTAATCTAATGCTAAACCTGTAATAATTAGGAGAGAAAATCGTCCCCGCTATCCTTAAATCTTATCAGACCATCCTAAACAAAATTTTAATATCAAGAAATCAGGGAATTGATGCGAAAACAGACATGGTAGTGGAAATCGACTCTATGCTCGTTCCTAGATCTCCTTACGTTTTACTATATGAAATTATTGTTTTCCTAATTACTTTCGATAGGACAAATACAACGGAGGGAGATGGTTTTAATTTATGCAAAATCAATGCAAGAATATTAACTATATATATCAACGAAATCATTGCATATCTGCAGAAGATATTAGAGAAGAAAGCCAGAATATATTCTTACTCGAGCACATCTTTCTACCAGTAGTTGACACTGATTGTTGTTCTTGACCAAAAAGGAAAAAACAAGAAACAAAAATGGGTTTTACTCGGATTTTGTTCTTGACACTGCTTTTTGTTTGGGCTGCCGATGTTCAATGTCAAAACGTCAAGATTTTCAACGTGAAGAAATATGGTGCAATCCCTGATGGCAAGACTGAGAATAGCAAGGTGAATCCTTCTTTTGATGATATGCATAAACTACATATATAATTAATCAAGTATCTTTTGTTTTTTAAGATATATACGCGCGCGCGCATTCATGTTGTTAATTTGATCTTCTGTTTAGGCATTCGTGGAAGCATGGAAAAATGCATGTAAATGGAATGGAAAGGCTGTGGTTTTGGTGCCAGCAGGAACATACCTGCTAGACTCGGTGAAATTTGAGGGCGAATGCAAGGGTTACATGATATTTAGGTTGAAAGGGAATGTAATGGCCGTGAGCAAACTGAAGGATATTAACCAATGGATTACTTTCAAATATGTTAATGGCTTAACTTTGACCGGTCGTGGCACCTTCGATGGCCAAGGATACAAGGTTTGGCCTTGTAAGACAAGCGGACGATGCCAAACTCTTCCTATAGTAAGTTCATCGTTCTTTTTTCTGAGAATTTTCTTTTCTTTTTACATTATACTGTCTTTGATGCTACATACTTATCGAAACGTGATTTTTTTCCCAATTAAACCAACAAACAAAAGGTCTTCTTGCTAGCCTGTTCCATTTTCTGAATAAAACCATATTAAATTGAACGAGAATAACTATACCTATGTAATTTGCTAGACATAATAATTAGAACTCTTTGAAATATACAATTCTGATCTATTAATGCATTTTTTCTCAATATCTTTTATATGTGGATTAAGAAATTGATTTGATTGTTGTTTTTTATTATCTTTTGGGCAGTCATTAAGGCTTGAATTCATCAGAAATGGAAAACTGCAAAACATAAGATCAATCAACAGCCAAAATGCCCATGTTTCCATCTTCGCCGGCAGCAACTTCAATATCACTAATGTCAAGTTGTCTGCTCCTCAAGATAGCCCTAATACTGATGGGATCAAGATTAGTTCCTCGGAAGAAATAAGGATTACACGCACATCAATCAGTACAGGGGATGATTGTGTTGCCATACTCAATGGAAGTAAAAACACTCACATTTCTCAAGTTTTCTGTGGCCCTGGACATGGAATCAGTGTTGGGAGTATGGGAGGGAATACAGTTATCGATAATAAAGACATTGTGGTGGGGTTGGCCGTGACGAACTCCACTTTTACCAATACCAGCAACGGTTTAAGAATCAAAACATGGGCATCTCGCTATGAAGGTCTTGCTTCTGGTTTCACTTACGAAGACATCATAATGAACGACGTCGAACATCCCATTATTATTGATCAGCAATATTGCCCTAGTTCTTCCTGTGATTCCAAGGTATAAATTTGATTGTCTTTCTATTAATTAATAAGCTTTTTCCACTTTAAATCATTGAACTGACACTGTAATCCATCACCCTTTTCCATTTCTTTTCTTTGCAGACTGCTTCACGTATTCAAATCAGGGATATTACATACAGCAACATTAGGGGTACTTCGAAGTCGAAGGCAGCAGTGACATTAAAGTGCAGCAGCATCGTTCCATGCAACAATATAGTGCTGAAGGATATCAGATTGGTGTATACAGGAAATCTAGGTCCTGCAAGTTCAATATGTTCTAATGTCCATGGTTACTCTTATGGCCATCAAAACCCACCCCCATGCTTTCGCTCGGCATAGTTTATATCCATTATATGTGTTTGCTAGGGCCTCGCCATGAATGAAGAGTTGCGTTTTAGTGGCTTAATCGATGTATGATATCAGGCTGTACTTTAGTAACCTTGCATGGTCGAGGGCCAAATCGTTTATCTTTAAATTAAATAATATTTATTATTGGGTTCATTTTATTACTATTTCAAACTTTATTTATATAGATTGTGATCACTAGAGTATTTTTTTTTATCTTACAATTTAATTTTTAAAATATTTTTTACTTAAAAATACAATAAATTAATTATTTTAAAGTATTTTTAGATTATTTTAATATACTAAAGTTAAATATAAATTAAAAAATTAAAAAAAATATTTTGAAACACTTTTAAAAAATATTATAAACTATAATATCAAACACATACTTCAAATAACTAAAGAATTACGGGATTTGTTTGTTTTTAAATTAAATAAAATAGCATTTATTATTTTACTCTTACTATAACAAAACCTTTGCAAAGTTTAAAAAATATAAGTGAATCGAATCATATGCTATAATTTATCTAAAAGAAAATAATATATAGGATATGATTCGTATTAATTAATGAATAAATTGAAAAGGTAAACATCTTAAGAAATTGAACTTTATATTGATGCATTGAATGTTTTCAAGACAAGGTTCTCAAATATTATACATGTAACGATATAAATATTTTAGAAAATAAAATATATTTGTCTCAAAAACAATAAAAGATAAAGCTTTTTAAAAAATAAGAAGTTGATGACGAGAGAAATCACACGAGTCGAGCCCTTCAAACCCGTCCCGGAAATATACGACGTCGTTTTTTTTTTAACGTAGTTTAATTAAAACGAAACCACTGCTTTCTCCTTCCCCACAGGCCTCTGGGAGCTGCTGCGGTTCAAAATTGCAATACAAAAACAGAAACGAAGTCGTTTTTTGTGACCCAACCCCAATCAATTCTTTTGCAATGTTAACTCGGGCTCTTTCGAGGTCAAAAATCCCAAATTTCAGTAGCATAATAGTTATCCTTCAAAACCTAACTACTAAACAATCCATTATAGGTCAAACGCAATTGCCACTCTCAAAAGCCTCAAATATCCAATCTTTTTTAGTTCCTGCTGGGTTGCGGCAATATCACGATGGAAGGCCAAGAGGGCCACTCTGGAGAGGCAAGAAGCTGATTGGAAAAGAAGCCCTTTTTGTAATACTTGGATTGAAGAGGTTTAAAAATGATGATGATGAGAAGCTTGACAGATTTATTAAAACACACGTTTTCAGACTTTTGAAACTGGACATGATTGCTGTTTTGTCTGAGCTTGAGCGACAAGAGGAGGTTTCTTTGGCTGTTAAGGTTGGACTTTTGTATTCTTTTAGTGTGAATATGTGATGTCTGTGAACCGTTTGATACAATGCTTCAAAGCAATGTTGACTTCATGTTCAGTTTATTTATTGTCTTGTGTGATTTATGCTGTGGAGGTTGGTTATTTTCTTGGGTTAGTGAGTAATTTATTGATTTTGCAGATTTTTAGAGTGATACAAAAGCAAGATTGGTATAAGCCGGATGTGTATCTCTATAAGGATTTGATTATGGCATTACTGAAAACTGGAAAAATGGAAGAGGCAATGAAGTTATGGGAAGATATGAGAAATGAGGATTTGTTCCCGGATTCCCAAATGTATACCGAAGCCATTAGAGGCTACTTGAGGGATGGGTCTCCTGCTGATGCAATGAACATATATGAAGACATGAAGAAGTCACCAGATCCTCCTGAAGAGTTGCCGTTTAGGATTCTGTTGAAGGGGCTTTTACCACACCCGCTTTTGAGGAATAGAGTAAAGCAAGATTACGAGGAGCTATTTCCAGAAAAACATGTTTATGACCCTCCAGAAGAGATATTCGGAATGCTCTGAGGTTTGCATTATGCTATTGATTTCAGTTCTTTAATTTGTATTGCAGATTGCATTCATGTTCGGAGGATGTTGATTATAGCATGTTTAGCTCCAATAGAAACAGCGTTGCAACAGCAGGGTTCTTCATGAACCAAAATCATAAAAAATAATAATGAAAAACTTGGGGTGAACAAGTTGTTTTCTGTAAGTTTTTATGGCCAAGACCCTCAACTGAAATGATGCTGTTCATGCACTAAATTCTTTATTTTAAGGAAGAACTCCTTTTGATACTTTTGTATGCTTGTTCATGTATGCATGTGACAGCTGGTTGTTTTGTGACTAGAGAACAAAACATCTGCAGTTTGTTTTTGTGTTTACTAGTCAGTTCATCCTTGGTAAAGGATGATTACAAAAAAGGAACTCACAGGTCTCACTGAACTGCTGAAGGGGTAGAGCTGACTTTCTACTGTTAATGCAACTGAAATCTGATTCTTTTATTTCCATAAATTGAAAGTTTTATTAATTTCAGGGCTTCAAATGGTCCCTCACTTTACTGGAGTTCGTGGTCTTTCCTCAGATGCTTAAAGATAGCAGCAAATGACCTAATATGACACCATTTTATACTGCGGAAACAAAGAGGTTGCTTTTGCGTGCAAGGACACATCGCACTGCTGTTCTGTTTCAGAGCTTCACACTCCGTGGTCTCTAAACATTTTGTTTTTTGGTGGGGTGGATTATGGGGAGTCTTACTGCGATGCCCTAGGTTAGATTTTTCCGTGTATTTGTAATTAACAAAGAGCTGTGTCATGTGTTGCTGCGATTGAACTGTCTTTAATCATTGCATCCCAACAGCTTCGTTTGGGTTGTACTTATTTCAGCCTTTGATTCGTTTGAACCTATAACTTTACGGCATGAAGTTCGCCAGCATGTCATAATCGTGCGTCTTGTGGACGTGGTTTTCGATAATGTGGCCATAAACCATAATAATGCAGTTAGGTTTTCTGATTTTCAATTCTCCGAGATTTTTAATGAAATCATCGAGGCTTTGTTCCCTAAGCTTCTAAACCTATGTAACAGTACCTGAGGTTTTACGCTATGTGACGGCTCTTGTCCTTCTGTAGCGTTTATGTTTCTTCAGTCTGATGGACTAATGTGTCGGTTTTGGAAGCTTGAAGACTATTGGGACATAGCCTTGCAAGCTTTAAGGACATAAAAATATTGCGAAGTGGTTGATGCATAGCTCGTAATTGAACTGCCTATCTACAAGCACAGAGGGCAAGTGTCCGAAATGAGGAGCTCTCCAATGGTGTACAATGTCAGAAGTAGGGGCATAAGCAAAGCATCATCACATATTGAAAGTCACTAGACTGGATATCGAGGAGGATTTAGAAAAACCAATATGGAATGATCTAACGTTGTTAGACCGGTAAGCTCGGGGAAACCCGCATATCCATTTATGTTTGCCTCGTAGAAACTTCATTTGTGCCTTCGAATTTCAAGCGTCCTTGTTTGGCTCCCCCTGGAGCTCTCAAATTGTGTTGATGCTGTCCTTGAGTTTCATGGTAAGATCGACGAGTGCAGGCTATAGCCACATCAACCATCGTCAGCACCAGTCAAGTGGAAATATGGACCGAGTGAATCCGGATTCCAATTCTCCGTTTTGATTCAGTAATGAAATGGACATTGCGGATTAAAAAATGATCCTCGCGGGACTATTTTTCTGCGCTTGGATCTTGGTGTGTGACATTTGTATGTTGTTTCTTATTTTTTTTTCTGTTTTAATAAAAACAATATCCCAGTATTCTTATTTCGAGCTATTATTCTACGGTTCGACCTTTTACTGTCTAAGAAGTTCTAAATCTTTACTGTTTGTTTTGTAAATAAAATGATTGTTCACATAGATTAATAATACATCTAGCAAAGAATTTTATATTTTTTACGTTCACGTGTATTTGGGATGATTCTCATTGCATCTACCTGGTTGTTCATAATCTAGTTCGGTTTGGTTTGGATCCTAAAAACCAACCAAACCAAGACATGCTAATTTTGGATAATAGAAAACAGACCGATTTTTCATCTTGGTATGATGTTTTCAGTTAGTTTTTTTTTATTTACTTGGTTTTCTTAGTTAATTGGGTTTTTTTTTAACACCTCTAATTGCATCTCGGTTGAAGTCATACTTTTAAAACCCAAATGGAACAAGTCTTGATCACAGTTTAGAGGTCAAGAGTGTTAACGCAAGTCAGCCCTATCTTTTGATTATATAAAAAAAAAAATGATATCATTTAAAAAAAAAAAGAAGAAGAAAGAAAAAAAAAACAATGGGTTTTTTCTTATATATATATATAGTGATAAACATTTAGTGATTTCTAGGTGTAACATGTTTCATATAATATATTTGTACTCATGAAATGAAATATGAAAAAAAAATATTAAAATTAAACAAATTGAGATGTTCAGCAATTAACATACATGCCCTTGCCCTCCATAAAAATCTTAGATTTAAAATGTATAATTTTTTTTTTTTCTTAGTGCTCATTAAATGCATATACCAAAGCCTAGAAAAATGAAAAAGAAAAGGACTCCTTATCAATAGAAGTGTTAGACATTAATTTTTTTTTTAATTATAAATTTTTATAATTAATTAAAATATCAAAACAGATTTTATAAGGCCATCCACAGCAATACACAGTAAAACTCTGATACATGACAAAAAGGATAGATTAAAGGTAGAAATAAATGAAGTGTGGTGGCCTTAATTTGTGCTTTAAATTGAATGAAACCCAGATGGCTTTTTCGATCGAAAGAGAAATATGTGGATCGATGGTCCAAGGATTGAAGAGATCCACAGATATTCTTTGATTAGATAGATTCATTAGGACTTGCAAGTGAGCAAGACGTGATCATGTTTACTTCTTCCAGCACCAGAACCAGAACCAGATTGTCCAGGACGTAATCATGTTGAAAGCTACTAGCACTTGTTAGCAATTTGCAACAAAATTATACTAGCCAACTTCCAAGTAAAAGACATGGTTTATAGTTTATGGCCAAATTAAATTTATTAAAACAACATTTATTTAATGGTTTTTTAATAAAAAAATAATTTAAAAAACATTTTGTTGAATAACAAAACACACTTCTTGACTAGTTAGTGATCGCTCGCCCTTTGTGAATCCATGATGTTGATAATTAAGAATATATATATATATATATATATATAAAGGCAGATTTTTAAGATTTTTCTATCTTGAGCTATTAAATAAATATATAATTTTTTTAAGATTAATTATTAATTTATATATATATACATATTTTTTTTTAAAGTTAATAATAAAATTTTAATTCAAATATACAACTTAAAATATTTATAAAAAAAATTAAAAGTATATAAAATTAAAGTGAAAGTAAAAATAAATCTAGTATTGAAGTTACATCTTTCAATGTTTTGTGAAATATAATTTATTTATAATCGAATCTGAATTGATATTATAACAACTCCTCAACTATAATAAAATAACAATCTTATATCAACTGTAAAATAAAATAATTAAATTATCTTCTCTTTTTAATTCTTCCTTCCATAACTTGATTCTTTTTTAAATTAGTGTTATATAAGTTGGACTTTGTAAATTTATAAGGTTATTTTTTCACTTCACTTTTTTTTTCTTGGATTTTTTTATGTTTTTCCTTTACTTTTCTTTCTTTTCCTATTCTATTTCTGCGCAATCGACAACATATAAAAGGAAGGAAATTTCTTTTCCTATTCTATTTCTGTGCAATCGACAACATATAAAAGGAAGGAAAAAATAATTTGTTTTATTTTTTAATAGCAAATAATTATTTTACTCTTAATGACTCGTTTTGTTTTTATTTGATGATTTTTTTTATTAGCACTACCAAGCTTCTTTTATCCTAAAATTTTAACCAGATTTTATTTAATATATTTTAAGATCTCTTGTAAAATTTCAGCTCAATCTGATGGTTGAATTGAAAATTACATTCAATAGCATAAAACTTGTCAAATTATGATTTTTTATCAAATTTCAGAAATTTTCTAAAAATTCTGAAATTTTAACCCCAGCTAAAATATCATATTAAAAGTCTCCACATAAATTTTGAGAATTTTTTAATAATTTAATTATAAATTATTTTTATAAGAAATTAATTAAAATACATTGATAAAATCTTGAGCTAAAGTCCATCCAAACCCTTAGCAGATCTCCGTCCTTGTTGGTTTGTGGTGGAATATATATTTTTTTATAGTTTAAGTAAAACCCTGCTCATTATATGATAAAGTATCAACACGAAACAAGATTAGCAGGATCTTAACTTATCCCCAAAGAATAAATTTATCACAAAAATCTTACCTATCATCCATATGAAAGATATAGTACTACTTTAATTGTTATATAAGATATAGTACGCTAAGATGGCTACTTGTCAGGGTGATTTTACCTGGATTATGATGTATTTTTAAAGTATATTTAACATGAAAAAATATTTTTTAAATATTTTTAAATATTATGCAAATATAAACATAGGGTCAATTCTGTTGTGCTAAAAAATAAAAAAGACAGCAATCTTATCTAGTTATCTAAGGGGATCAAAAGATTGTAGATTTCTTCAAGTCTCTATCTCTCTCAAGGGCTTGGAAGTTATTGTATCCATCAACGATCACGCCTAGGGAGGGCCATTGGTTGGAACTTGGAAAAAAAAGATTTGAGTTTTCTGAGGTTTTAAGCTGATGTGACTCTACAGAGCAAGAGAGGGTCGATTTATCGGCGTTGCTTGGTAGGGCACACGGCACAAATTGGGACGTCCACTTAGGATGCCAAGCGGACCCCATGAGACACTTATCCATTTGTCCTGAAAAAATAATATTATATATGCAGAAAGATCAGAGGATGTGAGTGAATCAACGAGGAAGAGAGTTGCAGAGAAAATCCCCACAAAAAGATATTATTTTATATGTATAAAGTAGTAGAAGTGCAAGAGTGAAGCTGAAGCTTCCTTCTTTTCTTTCTCTTTTTCAAAGTGATGAAGGCACATGGGCGGCACAATCAGTGCCGTCTAGTGTAGGAGGGATTATGTATATATCTGTGGCTGCTTTCGTACTCTCTCCAAGATCTTATCCAAGTCTTTCTTGCAAGCTAGCTAGCTAGGTGGTTGTTGATAGAGTTACTTGGGGAGGTAGTTTTGTACTTCCTACTGGTCGGGAAATAAGATAATGGACAGTAACAAACAAGGGGCTTGTTTTTCTTCTTCTTCTTCTTCTTCATTCACAGCCGATCTTTTTGGCACCACTGAGTCAGCACCAGTATCTTCAGCTGGGATTTTTGCTTCTATGTTTCCACCCCCGTCTACGGTATACTCTGGCATTAGTTATATATTCCATCCTCATGTCCTTTTTATGGTTTTTCTTTTGTTAATGTTATCTTGGCCAGAACTTAAATTTCTTGTGTGGAAAGCTCTGCTACTTTTGAATGTAACTATGTTGTTTAATTATGGATACTTTTAAAGTTTGTATTTATATGCCACACTTCATGCTGTTACGTGGGTGTGACTTCATTTAATAACTGGGACGAGAACTGTAAAAATGAAGGGAAGGGAGGTTTATATTCGTCCAAGTTGGAATTCCTCTTATCTGATTTTATTCTTAGTTTAATGGCTTCTTAATGTAAAAGACTTTTCTTAAATATAGATATATACTATTTCATCTTGAAGGGAAGTATGAAGATCAACTTTTTCATAGCCTCTGCTTTATATAGAGCATCTTCATATTTGTTGGTATCTATGCTTGTAGATAGATGGATACTAGCCCTGATTAAGTTTGCTTAAACTTGCGTGAACTCCTCCGTCAGAATTCGGGCCACCGTCTAACTTGTTTTCAGGATTCAGGTTGTAGGGAAGAAGTCTTCAGGCTCTGAGGTGACAGGATCTTGGCAAAAACAGTCCTATGGAAATCAAGCGTGGAACCCCAAACAAGGATCTCCAGGTTTGTGATTAGCTCTTGTTATATCTGACTATATTGAGTTTAGAAGAACTTGTTCTGTCCTAATGCTCACTGCATGTAAGACCTTTTTTCACTCCCAGACAATACTCTTGAACTGGTCAAGTGCTTGTTGGTGCATTTAGAGTTTTCATTAATATTGTTCAATTTAAAAGAAAAGCTAATTTCCTGATAATCTGTCTGTTTCCTAATAACAAAATAGCCAATAGCCAGGCTGCAAGCTATAGCATGCCAGACAAGGACAGAAATTCAGTTATCCAGGAAGAAAGAGTGGAACCATGTCATCTAAGTTCATCCCTTTACTACGGTGGACAAGAAAACTACCCTCAATCCCCAAGTACCCAAATGGCTGGATCATATCCCATAGTGAGTCTTTGATTAGTTGATGACTAATTCAAAACACTATGTTGTGATATTTTCAGCATGATAAAAGCAATAAGATAATACATCAAAGTAAATGTACTAATGTACTTTGTGAATTAATTAGTTCAAGAAAGATGGGGGAGAAGACGATCCTAACGGCAGCAACCCTCACAGTGCTTCCAGAGGAAATTGGTGGCAAGGTATTATGCTGCAGAAGAGCCTAGAAGTTTACTAACTGAAGCTGCTGTTATAGACTAGAACTTACAGTTCTGATGTGCTTTTCTGCAGGTTCGCTTTATTATTAGGACCGTGCTTCCCTTGGCAAATGAACTCTCCACCTATTTTTAAAGGTACATCAATTCAATGCACTCCATTCCACATTGAATTACTATAGTTGTAGGCATTCGTAAGTGTTCTCTCTTTTGTTGTTTCAACACTTAATTCTGCAAGAACTCTTTTGTTGTTTCAACACTTAATTCTGCAGAATTTTAACAAATAGTTATAAACCTCTTTTAACTTTTGGCAATCCAGATATAAAGTTGTTTCATTTCCTCTTGAAGCAGAAGCATGTTTCTTAAAATATTTGATACTACAGCAAATGTGCACATAATACAATGATTGTGGTGGTTGTATTTTTCCAATAAACCTATTTATCCACAAGGAGGGAGCGTGGTGATGATTAAAGTATTAAACTAAATCAGCTAAAGAGATGTGATCAGACTGCGGATAGATAAATCGTGCTCTGAGCTGAGAAACTATAAATGAACTTTCTTCGTGGTTGTTTATCTAATTTGTTGTTTTATCTTGTTTATTTTGCAGGAATTCATGAAGCCTATGTGATAATTATGAAAGACATGTGTAATAATTAGGTAGCTGACATGGAAAGATACTGTCAGATATCTGCAATGGTTTTTAACAAGGGCCAAAACCATCATGAATTCATGTCACATGATTTCGATAGTTGCAGTCTCAATAATGTTCAGGAAGCTGCATAACACTCGCTACCAGTTTCTGCTCTTACCTGGGCTGTTCAATAAGGTTCAAATGCATTGCATTGAATTTTAGCCTCTTGATATTCAACTCCTAGTTTGTCAAGTTTATGCGTCATTAATGATGTTTGTAGAAATATATGAAAGGTAAACACAATAAATAAGCTCTCAATCTTCTTTTAATTGGATACGCTGAAATTTACAGATTTGAACCATCAAGTTCACATGAGGACATTATAAATTGCTCCATGCTCCATTAGATAAATCATTCACTTACTGCTATTACACTCCTTTTAAATTCTCTAACAATGAAGAAGATGAAGCTATTCCAGTGCCAAAATTGTCAATCAAGTTGTCAGGCAAAAACTTTTAGTTCATACAGACGTGAGGTTATCACAGTTGCATACAGAAAATAACCTCTCTTACCTTTGGGTTGCGAAGTTCATTTGTAAAGGCATAGTTCTGCAGCAACTGCAAGAATAGGTACCTTGTGAATTGTGATGAGGCCATGTGGTCTTTGATTTGTCTATGCTCGAGGCTAATGTAAATCTGCAAATTCAAAAACAATAGGAAATTGTGAGGCAACAAAAAAGACAGGAACGAGTATCAGTAGCAAATCACAAGCCAATTTATCTTCAAGAAATCATCGGCAATGAGCAATTACAGCGCTTAGGAATTGTCACGGAAACTTTTGGCTTTGCTGCAGCTTTTTGGATGTTTAGAAAGCATAAATAACGTGGTATGCTTTTTGTCCTGCTTTCTTCTTAAGGATTTATCCTCTTCGCTCCCTGAGTGCTTCAAGCTGACTGCATAGCACAAACCAGCATCACCTTGAACGAAAAAAAGAAGGAATCTTCTTTTGATTATTGCATTATCAGCTCTCTCAAACACTGAATTTGAAATGATGCTGCTATCTTAATTGAATGGAGATTGGTATTGACAATAAACTGAATTTGAAATGATGCTTTAATTGAATGGAGATTGGTATTGACAATAATCCTCTCCTTTGCTATTTTCGTTTGATATGCAAAGGAATAGCCTTTCATATGCAGCCGCCATTTTCGTGGCAGGGGACAAATTCCACCCCCCCTTCCC